AGAGGGTGAAAAAATAGTGCCCCCACCACGCACATATACGTAAACTTCCCTACATAGAGAAGAAAATCCTAACTTTTTTGCATTTATGGACATTTTAAGGTCCCTCGAATCCAAAAAATGTAAAAAACTTGGGAGGAGAGTAATTTTTTTGACTCATTGCTATACTTTCTTTTGTTATATAACAGCAGGGAAAGTAACATTAAAATGCATTTAATTTTGCAACGAAACACATGGATGGGTGAAGTTAAGTGTAAACGATTGAAACACAATATTATAAACGAAACAGATCGATTTTTAAATCGATTTAATCGTTTGACTAGATTTATTTTCTTTATTAATTCGTAACAATTTCATTAGTTTCGTCTGAAAATTAATCGAATTTTCAATGTTTACAATTGATCAATCATTCGTTCATTCATTTAAAAACTAATCAATTTCATTCATTCATTCACTCATTCATTATTTAACTTGTGTAGTAATTTCTTTGTAGTAGTCAATTACTATTATTTATAATTACTTTTAATACTTTTATAACGTGTTATTTTAACTAAATATACTTTTTGCACATATTTTGCTATCAATTTAAAGTATTTTTAATAAGTATAATTTAATTTTTCTCATAAAATTTTATAAAAATATATGGCTAAAATACAGCAACGAGTTGAGTAATTTTTCCCCGGCAAAAAAGTTAAAATTGTGTATGGTGCCATCTGCTATGAGATTTTATCATAAAAAGCTTTTGCTTTCTCTTGCCTGAATACATCCAGTCGGGCATACAGGCATTGTTTATTATCCCGTGGAAGATTTGCCCTTAGATACCGCAATTATACTGCCTTCGCACTATTACATGCTCGAAAACGGCTGTTTGTAGTCCTGCCATGAGTGACGACACACTAGAGGGCTGAATTCCCTGATCATACCCTCGTGCCACTAGTGCTAGGGGTGATCGACTCTCACACGAGATTGATCAGCACGCCAGCAATGGCGGCAGTGTGACACTCAACAGTAAAGGAGGTATTGAAGCATTCACCAGTGCTCCTCAACATTCTAATATGATGGTAGTCTGTTCCCAAATAAAACCGAGATTTGTCAATAAAGCTGTCGTTCTGTTATGGTAGGCAGGCTACTGCTCTGAAGGATCCGGGTTGAAATCCAGAGAGGTCAAAAACTCCAGGAATTTTTGTACCAATTTCTTTACTGCGCTCGTTAACAGATTATAATGAGTTATTAGCCACTGTAAAGTAACTGTGTAATACACATTCTAAACTACTTTCCCTCCCTCGTGAGACGTGGCGTCCTTTATGGGTGGCTCCATATAAGCAAATTTTTCATAGAACACAAATCAAACATTTACTTGTAATGTTAGGTCAATCAGAGCTGGGTTTAATCTGTTGTATTCTATGTGAGGTTCTTCCCCTTACAGTAAATAACACATTTAAAAGCGCGAGGCCCTATCTTGTTTAGTTTATTTTTAAATTTGGCCATAATTATGATCTAAAAATGTGCATTTTACATGTAAAACAATTCATTGGGTTGCAATTTTCAAAAATTGGAGGCCTATAACTTTTCAATGGCATCTGTCTGCCTGTCCTTCCTTAATCTCGAGAATGGAGTTATATAGATGACAGACATGTACAGGGAAAAGTATGATATACAGGGGCAAGACACTACTAAACTTGAGAGCATTGTGACGATGTTACAATAAATAATTGCTCGTTTTTTATTAGTAACAGAAATAAAATGTAACGGTATAATATAAATCGTAACAATAACAACGTAACGTTATAAAGGTACAAAAAATGTTTAAAATTTAATTAATATAATGTAATATAAGACATAAGACTAACCTTGTAATAACATATATTATTGTATATATAAATATAAGAATGTATAAGAAAAATATAATCTTGTACTGCCTATATAAATTGTACATCATGTTAAATCAGTACATTATAATTTACGTTAACTTTTTAAATAATCTACCTGATTTTTTAGTATTATAAAATAGTATTTCGCATTTCATTGTAAAAAATGTACATTTCACAGACGAAACAAATCATTGTTGTACGCAACAATAGGAATAAAACGTAATAACAACGAGCAATTATTTATTGTGACATGGTCACAATGCCAGGCTGCAATTTTTAATTTATTTAATTTAAAATATATGCTCTCCACTTCAAATTAGTAGTGGCTCGCCCCTCTACATCATACTTTTCCTTTAACAACAAAGTCGTGCCGATCGTCTATCTAACATTTTGGGGGGGGACGTTTTGAATTGAAATAACGTAACTTCCGGTGAAAACCGGTAGAAGTNCCCTTCTAGATATTAGAGAAGGACAGATGGACGGAAGGGCAACAGTGGGAATTTATGTCTACAATTTTTTTTTTTTTCAAATTTTCGCTCGATAAAATAATATTAATGATAGAGGATATCGATATGTATATTATTTAAATTCTTTTTTTCTTTATTCATTGAATTCATTGGTTGTATAGAATTGCAAATTTGTGATTTTTATGCGAATGATGCCCGAAAAATACCATTTGAAATCAAACGTTTTCCAATTTCCAAGCGAAAGGAAGAAGGTTTTATGTTGACAAGCATTATCATTCATTAAAATTGAAATCACGCTTCATTCTCCATATGTAAACTGAAGGATACGCCAAGAAGCACCTTCCTTAAATTACTATTATTTTTTATATAATTACAATTTGATAAATTGTAATTTATCCTTATATATATATAAGTCTACAGGTATTTTATAATCTTTACAATTTCATTTTATGTATAAAACATAGATAAATATATTAAAAAACTATGTTTATATCTTATGAGTCTAGTGAAGAGTTCATCAAAAGTAATCGATTTGTTTCATTTATTCACTTGTTTAATTAAAAAAATCCGGCAACGAGTTGCTTAACTTTCCCGGCAACATTGTTACGATATTTTGTTAAAAACGACTTTTTTTATATATTTTTAACTATTATAAAATGGCAAAAAATGCTTAATTTTAAGGGTAGGGATGTTTTATAAACAGTTGTAAATGATAATAACGAGTAAAATCGTCATTAATTCCTACCCTACTGGAGATATGATACGCGACCCCTTTATCTCCACACCCTCGACTTTTAACCTCCAAATTCCCCGTAATAAACAAACCTCAGCGCAAAATTTCAGAAATTTTCGACAAAATACACAGGAGTTATTAAGCTTCAAACATGGTGAACAAAGTCATGACATACTAACATCCATGCATACAGAAGAAACCCCCCGAAACATTCGCATTTCTCGAAGTTTAAAGGTCCCCTGGATCCAAAAATGTAAAAATCTCGTGGATGGGTCTCTCTGTTATAACAGAGCCGGGGGGAATTAAAAATGAATCTGTTTCGCTTGCTAAATTAATCAATTTTTAATTATTTACAATTAGTTTCATTCATTCATTCGTAAAAAGTAATCTATTTCGTCTCAAAATTAATCCCTTTTTTTAATTGTTTATAATTGATTTGTTTCAACTCTTCATTCGTTTAAATATTGATTTGTTCCATTTGTTAAATTAACACATTTTAATTGTTAACAGCTGATTTATTTTATACATTTATTTGTCGAGAAATGTATTTGCTTTGTGTGCTAATTTAATCACGTTTTAACTGTTTATCGGCCAGGTGTTTCATCGTTTCACGTATTCCATTAGACCCCAAAATTTTTACATCTTTGAAACGTCCAGAAAAGCAAAAAAAATTCGGGGTTTTTTCTGTATGTATGGATATGTTTGTAAGGGCATTTTGTTCGCCCAATTTGAAGCTTCATAACTCCTATGTCTTGTCCAAAATTTCTGAAATTTAGCAGAGAAGTTTGTGTATTAAGGGCTTTAATGCTAGTAAATTTTGGCGGTTAAAGGTTAAAGGGGTGAGGAGACAGAAGGGATCGAGTGTCGTATCTCGAGAGGGGTCAGACATAACGAAGATTTTACTCGTAATTAACATTTACAATTTTTTAAAATAAAAATCTTCTTTTCTCTCAAAATTGAACTTCTTGTTATTTTATAATAATAATAAATATAAAAAGTTTATAAAATAAAATCTCTTAACAGATGATACAACAACAAAATGTTTACTCTTTTGCCAGTAAAGTTACTCAACTCGTTGATGATTTTTAATTGTTTATAACTTATCTGTTTCATTCGTTTTGAAAACTGATCTGTTCAATATGTTAAATTAGCATTTTCTAATTATCTTCAACTAGCGTATTTCATCCATTTATTTACTGAAAAATGCATCTGTTACGTAAAATTAATAACGTTTTAATTATTTATAATCATCAATTCTATCCATTTATCCACGAAAAGTACTCTGTATTGTCTCAGAATTAATCAATTTTTAATTGTTTACAATTACTTTTGATTTAATTCCTATTCTTTTTTTATCCATTTCACATAGAAACTAATCTGTTTCACCCGTTCATTTATAAATGAAACTAGCAATTATTTATTGTGACATCATCCAATACCTGACTGCAATTTTTCGTCACAATGCTCTCAATTTTAATAGTGTCTTGCCCCTGTAAATCATACTTTTCCCGATAACAACGGAGTCTTGCCGGTTATCTATGTAATTCCATTCTGGGGAAAATTTTTTAATTATAATAACGTCACTTCCGGTATACACCGGAAGTGACGTTATAATTAACGGGGCCTTCTACCCCTAAGCTTTCTGTATATATAGTCTCGAATTTCATCTATTTAACTCCGTCCTCGAGCTTAAAGAAAGATAGACAGACAGTCAGACAGGCGCTACAGGTAATTTATAGTTATACAATATTTGAAAATTGGGGCCAATTAATCAGTTTCGTTTCAAAATCGATTTTTTTTCTAATTTTTTTTTATCATTAATAAAAAATGCATAGGAACAATTTTTAAGTCTTAAAAATCCAATAACACGTTTATTAAAAATAAATAAAAATATTTAATCTTCCAGTATTAAATATTTTATCCGCTAGAGTGCGCTCTCTGAAATTACGTCACCCCACGTTTGTTACTCCAGTTACCGTGGTAACTCATCTTCCAATGCCAGAACACGTCTAAGAGAATTGTAATATTTGTGAGCGTTATTTGATATATATATATATTTTTTTATAAAGGAAAACAATCTTGTTTTGTTAATTTATATATATTTTTTTAAACATCAAAGGAAAGGTCATTGTACTTTTAAGCAAATGGCGCCTGTTAGAGTGCATATTGAATATTGGTAAGTGGCTGGAAAAATGATTAAATTCGATTTTAACTTTCGATTACTTTGCTTCACGTGTTTACAATTCAATTATTTGAAAATAGAATTTATTTGATTTTTTTTTCCCTCTTTAATTTAAAATGTATTTTCGACTTAACTGCATTTATTTATTTATTTATTTTTTCTTTTACTTTTATCATAAACAGATCATCTTCAGACATTCAAATATATATAAAATTTATTTATTTGATATGGAATTTATTCATTCAATTATTTATAATATCTAGTAGCAAAGTTATATTTATGTTGAGTTATTATTTATCTATTTTTACTATTTATTCGATTTGTTTATTTTAAATTAATTAAATTTCAAATTGTTTATATTGTATTTGTTTTTTTTATTATTCGTTCAAAAATTTAAAAATCCATTCATTTGTTATAAATTGATCTGTTTCGTTATTAAATTAACGTTTATATTGTTTACAATTGTTCAATTTCTTCTACACGTGATTAAAAAATCGATCTGTTTCATCTCAAAATTAAATGCCTTTTAATTGTTTACAGCTGATCAGTTTCGTCCATTCCTTAATCAAATAATTGATATTTCGCTTGTTAAATTGATGAAATTGAAATTGTTTGCAGAAATCTATTTCATATATTCATTTATAAAAGCTGGAAACGTTGTTGTTAGACTTTCTCGGCGTTTTTCTTTTTTTATTTTATTTGTTTCCATCCCTAATAATTGCTGCCATTTCCTGTATGAGTTTCAGATTGATTCGAGTGATATTAAGGATGTGGGGCCATATCTTCCCAATCAATGATTCGATTTTCCTGAAAATTTCTAGAAACATTTCCATCTAACACTCAAATCTCTTTGCAAAATTTCAGAAATTTTTGACTAAAAGCACGGGAGTTATTAAGGTTCAAAGAGGGTGAAAAAATAGTGCCCCCACCACGCACATATACGTAAACTTCCCTACATAGAGAAGAAAATCCTAACTTTTTTGCATTTATGGACATTTTAAGGTCCCTCGAATCCAAAAAATGTAAAAAACTTGGGAGGAGAGTAATTTTTTTGACTCATTGCTATACTTTCTTTTGTTATATAACAGCAGGGAAAGTAACATTAAAATGCATTTAATTTTGCAACGAAACACATGGATGGGTGAAGTTAAGTGTAAACGATTGAAACACAATATTATAAACGAAACAGATCGATTTTTAAATCGATTTAATCGTTTGACTAGATTTATTTTCTTTATTAATTCGTAACAATTTCATTAGTTTCGTCTGAAAATTAATCGAATTTTCAATGTTTACAATTGATCAATCATTCGTTCATTCATTTAAAAACTAATCAATTTCATTCATTCATTCACTCATTCATTATTTAACTTGTGTAGTAATTTCTTTGTAGTAGTCAATTACTATTATTTATAATTACTTTTAATACTTTTATAACGTGTTATTTTAACTAAATATACTTTTTGCACATATTTTGCTATCAATTTAAAGTATTTTTAATAAGTATAATTTAATTTTTCTCATAAAATTTTATAAAAATATATGGCTAAAATACAGCAACGAGTTGAGTAATTTTTCCCCGGCAAAAAAGTTAAAATTGTGTATGGTGCCATCTGCTATGAGATTTTATCATAAAAAGCTTTTGCTTTCTCTTGCCTGAATACATCCAGTCGGGCATACAGGCATTGTTTATTATCCCGTGGAAGATTTGCCCTTAGATACCGCAATTATACTGCCTTCGCACTATTACATGCTCGAAAACGGCTGTTTGTAGTCCTGCCATGAGTGACGACACACTAGAGGGCTGAATTCCCTGATCATACCCTCGTGCCACTAGTGCTAGGGGTGATCGACTCTCACACGAGATTGATCAGCACGCCAGCAATGGCGGCAGTGTGACACTCAACAGTAAAGGAGGTATTGAAGCATTCACCAGTGCTCCTCAACATTCTAATATGATGGTAGTCTGTTCCCAAATAAAACCGAGATTTGTCAATAAAGCTGTCGTTCTGTTATGGTAGGCAGGCTACTGCTCTGAAGGATCCGGGTTGAAATCCAGAGAGGTCAAAAACTCCAGGAATTTTTGTACCAATTTCTTTACTGCGCTCGTTAACAGATTATAATGAGTTATTAGCCACTGTAAAGTAACTGTGTAATACACATTCTAAACTACTTTCCCTCCCTCGTGAGACGTGGCGTCCTTTATGGGTGGCTCCATATAAGCAAATTTTTCATAGAACACAAATCAAACATTTACTTGTAATGTTAGGTCAATCAGAGCTGGGTTTAATCTGTTGTATTCTATGTGAGGTTCTTCCCCTTACAGTAAATAACACATTTAAAAGCGCGAGGCCCTATCTTGTTTAGTTTATTTTTAAATTTGGCCATAATTATGATCTAAAAATGTGCATTTTACATGTAAAACAATTCATTGGGTTGCAATTTTCAAAAATTGGAGGCCTATAACTTTTCAATGGCATCTGTCTGCCTGTCCTTCCTTAATCTCGAGAATGGAGTTATATAGATGACAGGCATGTACAGGGAAAAGTATGATATACAGGGGCAAGACACTACTAAACTTGAGAGCATTGTGACGATGTTACAATAAATAATTGCTCGTTTTTTATTAGTAACAGAAATAAAATGTAACGGTATAATATAAATCGTAACAATAACAACGTAACGTTAAAAAGGTACAAAAAATGTTTAAAATTTAATTAAAAGGAGGTGTCNTATATGCTCTCCACTTCAAATTAGTAGTGGCTCGCCCCTCTACATCATACTTTTCCTTTAACAACAAAGTCGTGCCGATCGTCTATCTAACATTTTGGGGGGGGACGTTTTGAATTGAAATAACGTAACTTCCGGTGAAAACCGGAAGTTACGTTATTTCAATTCAATTTCAATATAGTTAATCGGGGCCTCTGGCCCGTAGGATTTCCATATCTGGTCTCTGATTTCATCTATCTAACTCCGTTCTCGAAATTAAGGAAAGACAGACAGGCATCAGACAGGCCATAGTGGGAATTTAAAGGTCTACAATTTTTCAAATTGCAACCCAACAATACAATAAATAACACCTAAATAAGTCATTAAAAATTTAATTAATTCGAGTCGTTAACTATAATTTTAACTAATTATTATATAAATAAAACAAAATAAGACTTGTATTCATCGAAATTAAGATCTGTATATATTAACTGATAAATATAGCAAAGGGTATTAATTACTTTCGTACCGTTTCCATCAATCATACGTTTTAAAAATAAGAATTTTTGAAATTAATTATTGAAGAGAAAAATTAAAAAATTAGAAAAAAATAAAACTTTTATCTTCACAGCTCGAAATGAGGTTATCGCACTCGCTTCCAGAAATTACAGAAAAAAATTCAAGCTGAAAATCCTGAAGCTGATATAGAAGGAGAAGAGGGGAGAACTTGTAAGTAATTTTTAAAAATTAATTTTCAAATTTAACACTTTATTTACAAGAATTTCTCACGTAATTTTTAAACTATTTATTAATCAATAAACGTTTTAATTTTTACTTTATAAAATTAATTAAATTGATAAGGCATAGGAGGAAAAAAAGAAAAACATTACAAAATTGCTTCTGTATTTTATTAATTAAAATCATTAAATATCTTTTATTTTTTACTAATTTTTCTTTTTATAAATAAATAAATTAAACAATAAGCTAACTTATTTTTTTTTACGTATAAAAATAATAATTTAGCTAATTTAATGTGTTTTTTTTCGAGTTAAAACATAATTAAAATTTATTTTATCACCCATAAATCATTTATATTTTTAAAATAATTTTTAGTAGCAATTAATTAAAGATAAATTATAATTATATTTAAAATGAATTTATTTTTTTAAAGATAAAATAAGTGTTTTTAATGATTAAATATATAGAAATTAACTGGATTTTTTTAAATATAATAAACTGCAGTTTATCTCATCAAATTATTTATTGTTTTATTAATTTATAATAAATTTAAGAATACTTTTAATCAAGTTATATTTTAAATTTATTATTTTTTTTCATTCAAAGCATCATTTGAAATCACTATAAATGGAATTTTAGTTTATTCAAAATTAGAAACAAATAAATTCCCAGTAACTAGTGAGGTAAATTAATTAATTACATATATACAGTATATAATATTTTTTTTGCAGATGAATTTATAATATTTTAAAATATAAATAATTTTTCTGCTTTTTCTTTAAGATTATAAATCTAGTTGAAATGGCAAGCAAAAATGAAGAAATAGAAAAAACACAAAACTCCAAGAAAATTAATTTTTGTAGATATTTGTAATAATTTTATATAATTTTCATTTTAAAAAAAATTAAAATTTAGATGTTAAAACTAAAATTAAAATCATATTTTAAAAATATAATTTAAAATACACATTTAAAAAATGTAAATTCTTCATTTTATTTTTATTTATTAATTTTTTTCATCTGAAACAATAAAAGTTCCCTCCCTTTAAACTGGATTTCTCTTTTAAAAATGCTATTTTTTTTTAAAAAATAAATGTCAATTTCTAATTTTTAAAAAATGCAATTTTCTAAAATTGTCAATTTCTTAACTGTTTAAAAACATGTCAATTTCTATAATTGAATTTTTCAAATAAAAATTGTCAATTTCTGTCACAAAATTTAAGAAAATGACACTTTTCTGATGCTGTCAATTAACACCTGCAGATTGTTGTTAAAAGAAATTGACATAAAAAATTCAATTTTTTTTTTTTGCATTTTTAAAATAATTCATTTCTTTTTTCAGAAATTGAAATAAATAAATTACATCTTTTCATTCTTAAAATTTATATTTCTAGTAAAGTAATAAAATAAAAAGGATTTTTATTATAGAAATCTTTTATAAAACCACACGTTTATGATGAAAATATGCTTTCAAACAGAGAACAGCTTACAAAAAATACAAAAAAAGTATATGGGTTATCAATCAATAAAATGTTATTTCGCAATCATTAGATAGAAAATATATATAAAATTATTATTAACTTTACATTTTACTTTTTAGTATGAAGTTCAGTTAGGAAATGAATGCTGATTGAGCTGATGTTATGTTAAAGTATTATGTAAAGCCTTGTTTTTAAATTTAAATTTTTCAATAAAATTGATTTTTCACCTGTTTGTACTTGTTAAATTACTATTTGTCCTCTGAAACATTCATCATTATAATTTTAATGCATAATGTATGTCAATGTTATAATGCCGTAACATTAGAGTAATAAAATATTTAAAATTAATAATTTATTCATGTTTTAAATAAGAATTGGCATTTTTTATAAATTAAAATTTATTATAATTTTCTGCTTTTCAAATTTTGATTTATACTTTTTACAAAGTTTATGTAGTCAAATAGTAAAATCCATCATTTTGATGAGATTTTGATTTTTTAAAATTATTTTGCTATTACAAAACAGTTTATACATGTTCTTGAAACATAGATGATTGTATAATCCAGGTACTTAGCCAAAAATTACGTGAGTAGCCAGGGCTGTTGAGTGATGTTGAAAATTTTTTCCAGGCCAGAGTAAACTCAGGGACCACAATGGTTCATTCATCCTATAAATTAGTTATTTTTATGAACAGAAAATAAAATCTTCAAGACCACTTTTCATTAATAAAGAATTATTCCATGTATTTCATTTGTTCAAACAAAGAAAAAAAAAAAAAAGTAAAACAGGACCACTCTTGACAGTCCTGAGTATTTGTTTGTTTATTAAGTTATGGCAATGCAACACTTGATCTACCTAGGAGATGCCTTCCGGGAGGTCTTTTTAAGGAAACTTGCCCCTATTTAGGCATTACAGAAATGAAGAAAACCCGGAAAACTCCACATGGCCAGCCCGTCCGAGTGAGGCGCGAACCCCCAACACAAACTCCCAGTGTTTAGGGAATGGAGCCACTTGGCCACTGGTGGGCCCAGTCCTGAGTAGCATCATGTGGTATGAACTCAATCAATCAATGAGTGTTCCATGTCAGAAACGAGCTCATCAAATGAAACTATATACTCTGAATGTGAGATAAATTCTTAATTGATCCCATAAGAAAATGCTAACAAATAGCATTTTCGTTGAATCTTTTTCCTCTCATAAAATGAACTTAGCTACCAATGAAAAAGAGTCTACAAGTGAGAATAGAAACTAGACTCGGTCATTAAACATAATAATTCAAATGTTTGAAGAAGTGAATAATTTTCATATCCAATATTGATTAAATTGCAAGATTTGTAAGCATTTACCATTGAGAAATTGTCTGCTAATGAGTACTTTATGAGTAGAAAATGTACATAATCTTGTTCAAAATCATGAAATTAAAAAATAGGATTTTTAAAATCTATAACAATCTTTGAATCTCTTATCAAAAGAACTGTTACAATCAGTGGCATATCCAGAATTTTGAGAATAAGGGTGGTGCTCTAAGCAGATTCCATGGGACATCAAGATACACACCCCATCATTTTTTAGAGAATGTTACTCAATTACCTTAGAATTGCTTTAGTTACCTAATCTGACATACTTGAAGTTATACAATATGCATTATTATATTTATTTTTATTTTAAAGAGCAAAACTGATTACTTGGTATCAAGTGTGTGTGTGTCGCAGCACATATGCACCTGGTTACACCTGTTTACTGAGATTTCATAACATTATGAAGGACAAAGAACAGCTATACATAATGCATGAAAACCATCAATATACTGCACATTTATCGATCAATGCATTATATAAATGTATAAATATTGACATTATGAAGTAAATTATTCTAAAGGCCACATACACAATGGAAATCTCTAGTTTATTATGGACATTACAGAATTTACATATTCTAGATCATGGTCAATAATGCTAGAATGATGATAATTAAATTTGTTAGGTAATATTTATGAGTGGAAAAAACCATATCTTTAAGATGAAGCTGCAGAAGTAGAATTTCGTACATCTTTTGATTGAGTTTTCAAAATATAAGTTCAGATAATTGCTAGTAAGAGAAAGTACAGAATTGTAAATATTAAGATCATTTTAGTACATTGTTGCATTCCTTTATCTTTATTTGAAACAAAAGAGCCAATAGGCAAAAAGAGAACAATCATGAAACATGTATCTTGTATCATCACCCTCAATATGCTATTTCAATTTCTGATTGAAATGTACCTTTGATCATACTAATCCATCAAATGACCACAAGTAGTGTATGTGATCTTAGTGCCTTAACTGTGTACAAAAATAAAATTTCCATTAATTTGATAAGCTTTCTTTGTGATATAACTCTTACAATTATAAACCATATTCTAGAGTAAAAATGCATAGAATAAGCCAAATGAATCAGGTTATTTTGGACTATATGATCAATTATTCTAGAGAATTTGGCCTAAAGATAGAGAGTTATGTTGCCATTTTGTACCAATATTAATAATTAAAATTTAAATGAATTTTAAATATATATTTCAGAAAATTTTGGAAGAAGAGACTGATCTGGGGATACAAGAGTTACGAGAGGAGCCGACTGTGGCTCAGACCATTACTTAGCACAATTAAAGATCGGGTAGTAGAACAAAAGGAGGAAAAGAGTTGCTCTGCAGAGAGTGAAAACAGAGTGCAGAGCCACTTTTTTCTTCCTTTTGTTCAAACCTGCATTTTCTACAAATAGATATGTTGGCAGTTATGCTAATTAGACCTCTGTCCAATTTATTCTTCCAGGCACAGAACTTCAGAATTGCTACACAGTCATACATGTAAAATACATGGATTTAGTTTGTTTTTTCCCTATAATTTTCAAAATAATTCATGCATATTACAATAAAAAAAATTCTTTATTAATTTTTACATCAGTCTTCACTCTTTCTTTTCCTTTTTGGAGAAGAAAGAAAGAAAAAATTTCAGCATAAATACAATAATTATCACCAATGCAGCATACATCAAAATTTGCTTGGAATGTTTCTATAAAACAAAAATATTTATTTAAATATTAATAATTAAGAACTTAAAATAAAGAAAAAATAAACTTACCTGCAAAAATTCTGCAGCAAAATCTGTTAATTTATCACTGAAAAAACAAAGAAAATGTTAATTTACACATATTTAATTAGTTATAGTAGTAAGTAATGTTTAAAATTATAAACTTACAATGGTGTTTTTGGTAATGGAACAGATTCCATCTTGGAATTTTTATACCAACCTTCCAGGAATTTTTCTAAATATGGAACTGTAATTTCCGGAAAGTTGTATGCATACATTTTACTGTGACGGAAACTATAATTACATATAAATACATAATTATAACAGTTGTTCAAAGTATTATAATCATCGTAAATTTAAAGTAAAAGTATTTTTCAATTGGAAAATTTATGATTGGAACACAGATGTTTAAGGGTGTGAAAGTAAACTTTGCTTTCTTGACATCTAACCTATTTAGATAAATAAAATCTATTTAATGGCTTTTAAAATGGATTCAAAGATCAAATCCTAATTTAAAAAACCTTTATTGAATTTACAGAAATTCTCTTACAGAATCATCATATTATAATTATAAGTATCATAATGTGGCTATTATTTTAACATTCCTCACTTTATTATGTCTTGATAACATCAGAAAGTTAAATTTAACCTACATAAAAAGGATGTGAACTGTCAAAGTAGAAAGTTGAAATGTACTTAGAATGTTGTTGTTGTTGTTGTTGTTGTTGTTTATTAAACTCTTCTCATTCAGAAAATACTGGGAGAATTTGAATGAAAAGAAGAATGAAAGAAACCATTCAAAATTAAACTCAGAGGAAAGTACAATGGGTACATTCCAATATGCATTAAATGGTTCATCGGTGAACTGCAATGTACTAAAATGTGTTCCAATATTTACCAATGAATTTGTTGGTGCAGAGACTGATGCATGTTGCACTTGTCAAGCTCTGATGAAGCAGTATTTCCACTGCCACAGTTATTAACTCCATTTTTACTACTCATCTTTATTAACTCAAAGTTATTTTGACAAAACAAGTCTGAAAATGCAAATACAGTCGACCCCCCCATAATACAGTAGATACGTTCCACTTTATAAGAATTTCACATTGTAGGAATCCTTAAATATATGAGCCAATCACAGCCCAGCACGTGTGCAGTTTACGGACTATGGCTGTTTGAAAGGTTTTCTTCCATAAAATTAATCAATTCTAGACTAATCCGACTCAACATTTCCAAAACATGTATAATTTTTTTGGAATAATCCGTATAAACTATGCTATAAACAAAAAATTGTAGGATTACTTACTAAGTGTGCACCGTTTGATGACGCCATTGCTTAAGCTTGTTTTTGTTGCGGAGCAGCGCACCAAACGGCTGGCGGGTTTTCTGATAAGTTATTTTTCTGCGAAAAATTCACTGAACTTTGGAGACGTCATTAATAGAAATAATTTTTATGGCAGTTGAATAAGAAATGTTTTTTTCACAAGAAATGTATAAAATTACAGTACTGTATTAGACTTACAGTACCTAATTTATATACTGTACAGACAATAGTGAACTCAACTTACCTGCCTAAACTCTCTGTAGCATGTAAGTAGTTCGGCTGCTCGTCCACTATTGGTCCAGATTCGACCAATTCTGTCGCGACATGAGTCGGCAATGACGTTTTACCGCATTTTAAAAGTCTCTTTTAGCATCTTTATATGAATACGTTCGCAATTTTTTCACCGCGATATACGAATCCGCATTATAGGGGGGGTCGACTGTATAGCACTGTTTGCTTCTGCCATCTTGTTAGATTGCCAGACATTCCAGTAAAAGTTTATCAAACCATTCACCAGTGGATCGGTTATGGCCGAGACTGATGCATACTGGAATGAATCCAATGTTTTTGTTTAACCATTGAAAAGGACAGCTGATTGAGACAACAAAGGAGTCAGTCTGCTATTTTGGGAGACATGAGTTCAAAGTAACAAAAATTTTTATGGATAGTTTGATCTAGACATGTCAAGCTCCTTCACTCATCTCTTCCTATTGTTAGTTTGGTCAATCCTATGATGCATATAAAAGCTATGAGTTAAAAAAAAAATTATTCTAATTTATGAATGGAATGGGTAAAATTATATCAAGCTAAAGTATGTGTTATAAATTAAAAACATTCATATTTATAGAATTCTAACCTATTCCAACAACAGATTTTTATTTACCTAATGTTTCTGGCTAACTTAGTAGCCATCCTCAGGATTCATGTAAGAGAATTCTTTTAAATTCAAATTTTAACATTCTTAGAAGTATTCCAAATATGAATTGTTGATAAATAACTAAAAGTAACATACAAAAAATAATAATAAAGAAATCATAAAATACAAACAATGATGAAAATCCATTAAATATATACAATAGTAATTAGTGTGTGGTTTTAACCTTGTCTTGGTTTATAACACACTTCCTTGCTGCAGATAGGCAAGTAGCATCATTATGATCAATACACAAATTCTTAATACTATGCACTGTACTACAGTACATACGTACATATATAGTTATTTTTTTTAGAGTTTCTCTGATATGTTGGTCCCTGGTGGTTTTTAAGAGTTTAACATCCTTGAAGTGTGGTATATTCTCAAGAACAGTTGCCATAATAGCAGCATTGTAGTGCTTTTCTCTTTAAATACATCATACTGATGGTCCCTGAGAACTGTTTCTGGAACAAGCTAGAACTCTTTAAATTTACACTTTACTTTTCACCTTAGTTACTTTCCGTGCAAATCAATGCTTTCAATTCCATTTTAAAAACTATTTTATATTCTGGAAAATCTCGCAGCTAATAAATTTGAAATATTGTCATAAAGTAAATAAATACTGTAAATACAAAATTCAATACAGGTCAACCATTAATTTTCCAGCAAAACCATTAGTCTGGTCAGGGTTTAGAATTAAATTCTAAACCCTGGCCAGACTAATGGTTTTGTTGGTTCAATTAAGATTACATAATTAATCAGTATTACATTCCTTCCATGTCTGTAAAGCATTATAGATAACTAGCAACTTAATAATTTTAATTTAATTTAATTGAATAAACAAAAAATTAAAGTTTAATTTGTGTTTATTCAATTTCATAGATTTTCTACTCTATTTCAATTCTGTTTACTGCAATCGTCAAAAACATTTCACTTATAAATTCATTTATAAGTGAACATTCACTTATAAATAAACTCATTTAATTGCCAAAAAATTTAGAAGTGATTTAATTCTCTTTTGATTAACCTTTATAATACAGTAGAATCCAGTGATTTTAATCATGTATTTTGTTATCAGTCATCTAACAATATCAAAATTAGTACATCCTGCAGTTAAAATTCACTTATGAAACTTGTACTCAGGGTTTCAGTTATAATTATTATTATCTTCAGGTAAATGTGTGTTTTTATGCTCTCTTTGTGCTATCAGTTTCAATGTATGGTTGATAATATGCAGTCATAATCAGTTATTATCAGTCTTAATCAGTGCTTTTAACACTAATTATTTTAATCAATATTTGCTTGAGTTATTGTTGTTGTTAACCATTCAGTCATTGCCGATCCTGGGTCACCCTACAGATCAGATTCCTCAAGCTCATTCTATCCAGAACTGTCTCTTTTAGCTGGCACAAAGACACTGTCTGTCTTTGTGCCTAACCACTTTGCTGTGCCTACACTGTGCTTTGTGTAGACTGTATCTGACCAGCGAGTTCCTCTTCTCCATGAGCCACAGACATGTCCTATCAAGATGGAACCTATTTGTGGCTCATGGATAAAAGTATACTAGTTTAGATTGCTGGATTTTCTGTTTTCAGTTATATCTAGCCATTATTAAATACTACTATGAAAAAATAGTATTAATGAACTATAACTGGGCAAATTATAATTAATTAAAAATCATCATCAACCTGACTTCAAGGGTTATATAAAAATTTTGAGACCAATACAGGTAGAAATCTCTATCTGTATTGGTCTCAAAATTTTTATATCTTCTCTTTGGTCTACTTCTAAATCCTTTTGCAATTAGTCAGTAACTAATTTGGCCTATCCTGGTTCATTCTCTCCACATATTCCTTCCATTTATATTTGATCATCTGGTATATATTGAAACCAAAATTCTATTTCATTAGCCATTTTTAGAGAAAAACAGTATACAAATAAGCCATTTCACAAACTATAGTATAGATTAGTCTATACCATAGCATAAACTATTGAAGTAAATTTGAATACCCACCTGACCAATGGTTGGGTGACTAAACATTGAAATGGTTTATTTATAGACTTTGTTTCCCTAAAGGTGAGACTAAAAGCCCAAAATGTTTGGATTTTTTTTTATCATTTTGTCTTAACAAAGCAATATTTATAATTGCTATTTTTTGAAAGAAGCAGTTTTTCTTTTACTTCATTTATTTGCATTTATAGGAAGATTCTATACTGATGACATTCTGTCTTTATTGCATTATTCTGCTATACTATACACAAAAAATAAAGTAAAAATAATACTTACTATATGATCACTGGACAAGCTGTTACTTTAAACCTCTCTTTTAGTTCAGGAGACTCTTTCGTGTCAACAAATGCTACATTGACTCTGTTCTGAAAGCTGAAATACAATTTTGAAACATTAAGTTAATTGAATGACAATTTATGAATTGTTTTACCTTCAAAATGTTATCAAAATCCAATAAATTTGCCTTTGAAATGTAAAGAAAATTAGAATGATGACAATATAAACCAGCATTTTCAACCTTTGCTAAAAGGTATTACTCTATCTTTAAACTTTTAGTATGTGCTACTTGATAATTTATTGATTTAAATGAACTACTGACTGTCAAGACATTGTAGAAGTCTAGGGTGTTGTGAAAAACAGATTGAAACACTGGTGCAACTACTGGGATGATCCCAACATAAAGAAATTCATCTCAGTCCAGGACTGTTGTTTAATGACGAATCTAAAATGTTATTTTTAATAAATTATTATTATTACTACCACATGTAATGGAGTACAATGTTGTGTGACCTCACAATGTTAAATCATTAGTCTCCAACAACTGAGTTACACCACTGATTGAAAACCATTGATACAGGTGATATAATTTACATTCTCACCAATTTATGAATAGAATAAGTTTAAAAATAAATAAGCTAAAATAATCATTTAACTTAAAAGAGTTTATAAAATTTTCTTACTAAAAATTGTATTTTGTATAAATTCTTACCGTACACCAACAGTTTCCATTTGGACTTGATACATTTCTTTCTTTTTCTTGCATGCATCATTGTAACTATGAAGAAAATTAATTAAATAATAATATATATTTCCATACAACCATACAAATCATAAAATATATATGTTAATTATTACTGTAATTTGTTAATTATTATCCAAGAAGTGTACAACATATGAATAAAGATGGTGACTCTGCAACAGAGAAGGCATTTTGTGTTATGCAGTTTGCAAAGTCAGAATAACTCATCACTGTGCAACATGAGTAATCTGCAGGCACTGTAGAATTGTGTCTGCTGCAGGAGGCGTGCCGACAGATATGCCTTAGCAAGCATAGGTAGATTTTGGGTATTGGTTAGATGTATGCCATATGACATGAGATGCACACATTGAGAAATTGTAATGTGCAACTGTTGGACAGTTTTCCAATGTTTTAAATGTATATTACAACATTCTCGGATAATAATTGACATAATTACAATAAGTTAAAATGGTAGCATTCTTTTCGGAAGACCCTGTATATAACTCAAAAAAAATATAAGCTGAGAAATAAAAAAAGAGGAAGAAGTTCAGAAAGAGCATTATAAGATTCCTTACAAAAGAAAGGATTGTCAGAAAGTCTCATGAGGTTGTTGGAAGAAAGCCATTTTTATATTTAATATTTAAATTATTAGGAGTTGTAAATTAGTATTTAAAAAACTTGAAATAATTTTCATGATTTTTAAGGTATATTAATTTAAACAATAAATTTATACTTATTAAGACAACAATGACATTAAAATAGTCCTAAATGAACGAAAATTATCATTTGTTCAAACAAAGAAAAAAAAAAAAAAGAAAAACAGGACCACTCTTGACAGTCCTGAGTATTTGTTTGTTTATTAAGTTATGGCAATGCAACACTTGATCTACCTAGGAGATGCCTTCCGGGAGGTCTTTTTAAGGAAACTTGCCCCTATTTAGGCATTACAGAAATGAAGAAAACCCGGAAAACTCCACATGGCCAGCCCGTCCGAGTGAGGCGCGAACCCCCAACACAAACTCCCAGTGTTTAGGGAATGGAGCCACTTGNTTTTATATTAATTCTTAATAGATACTAAACTTGTTTAAATATCTTATATAAAATTATTATAATTATATTATATAAAGCAATTATGATAAAATTTTATTAATACAGATCTTGATCATTTGAATGTAGCCTTATTTGGATAATTTCTGTAAAAAATATTACATTCATTTAAATAAATCTATGCACAATAACAAGTTCTATTGATCAAATTTTGTTGTAGTTTGGATGCATGATAAGAATTGATTGTACAGCTTGTCTTTTTTCAAACAGACTCTTAAATAAATGCATTACAGGATTTCATTTTGTTAATCTAGATCTGTGACTAATATTGCAAGTGACTTCTTTGAACTAAATGACTTGCCTTGGTGTGTGTGTGACACACCTCATATAGAGTATACACCAGAGTGTTTCAAGCAGCATGTTATGAACTGTGATGTACTAAAATTTTCACTTATGCACATTCGGACTGTAGATACATTGAGCTCCAATGATGCAATATAGCCACCTCAGTGGTTATTTTATTGTTGACATTTTCACTATTCATCTGCATTAACCGTAAATTATTTTGACAGAATAAGCCTGAGACTGATGCATACTGGAATTTACCCATTCAATAATTTATTTAAAATTTAAATATTGTGAAAGCCAGGTTGAATATCACAGATTTAGATCATCTTGTTTTTCAGATTTTAATTAGACATTGAGGAAAAAAATGATTTAATGCTTCATAGTTTATGGAATTTGTTGTATTGTACATGCATTTTTAAACTGCATCGCACATCATATACAATAAATCCTAATAAGATGGCCACTTGATGAGTATCACAGATATTAAGATAGCTTTTTATGATGGCAATTAAGTGTTTGGCCAAGGTCATTTTATTATGGCTGGATGCTAAGGGAATAGCATATTTGAGTCAAACTGTTATAAATATTTCTGAAAATATGACCTGTCCAAATTCAGATCTGTCTCATAATTAACAAAATTACATAATTTAAAATGATAGCATTCATTTTGGAAATTCCTGTATTTGTGTTCTGTAAATATGTTTACATTTACATAGAAAGATGCTTCTTGCATAGATTTGTTATCTTCATATTTAAGCACATATTCATATATATAGTTGTATGATTCAAAATTCATCTTGTGTATAATTAGTAGTACAGTCTTATTTCTATATTTATTTGCTTCAATATTTCTTAAATTATACTATTTAAGTTACAAGTTGTATATTTTAAAAATGGACAATGGCTAACTTTTGTAGAGCATACTGATTCTCATGAGATGAACTAAGTTGAGCAGGAAGAACTTGGACACTACTATAATAAGAGATAATATGAAATTGCATGTGCTGTTGTCCTAATTCCACTCTGAGCTTGGTGGATCTAGTAAATCCTAAGCTCTACTGGTCAATCAAAAACTTCATGCAATATTTATTAATAGTATCATAGAAATACAAATAAAAAACACTTAGCAATAGCTCCCACTTTATGACCACTCATTTTATAGATTTTCTATAAGGTAGTCTCCTAAGTCTGGCCCCACAGGAGCCAGACTTACGTTACATTGATGTTTGTTTATTCTTTTACAGTTAAAATGTGGCAGCGAGCAGAAGAATGAATTTAAGTTATTTTGATGATAGTTGGTATGAAATTGCCAGAGTTTAATGGACTACTTCCAGACTTCCTACCAATTACACAGTGGGCTGGATACAGCCTGTTAAACTCTTCAGTAACTTCTCTCTGACTCTATTCCCTGGCACCAAAATAACTTGAAATCATTCCTCCTTACCCAACGTCATGCTTTAAAAAAATAAAGATCAACATAGCTCCTATAGTTGTGGATGTATAAGACACCTTTTATTATAACTGTATAAAATATTACATTTTCTGTACGATATCATAGTTAAAATGGTATTTCCAGTAATATAATTGTAATTAATTAAGTAACAATAATGGCGTAAACATTTTTAAATATTAATCTGAACTTAGCTTAACTAGAATCTTCTAACACACTTATTTTATTTGATTTAAAAGATTCAAATGAATTAGATTAAAAGTATTTAATTGCTTGTTTAAGCTGTGTAGTGGTTACATTAATTATTGCAACAAACTGAATGTACTACTTATAATTAACTCAAAATACACCTAAATGAATTAACAAACCAGTTTAATAACTGAAATAATGTTTTCAATCTTGTTTAAAGATCATTATATAACATATGTACAAAAATTAATTCTTAAGAGCTACATAAAGATTCATTCTATCTATCTGAAACATATTGGGTACATTCCACTATGCATCAGTTTCAGCCACAACCAATTCACTGGTGAACAGTTTAATAAGATTTTACTTCCGGCAACCTAACAAGATGGAAGAAGCAAACAGTGTTATATTGGCATTTGTCAAAATAACTTTGGGTTAATACAAATGAGTAGTAAAAATGATGTTAATAACATAACTGTGAAGGCAGCCATATTGCTTCATCAGAACACATCCCATCCAAAGCTTAACAAGTGCATCAATCTCTTCAAAGATGAACTTGACAGTGAATATCAGAATACATTTTAGTACATCGCAGTTCACTGATGCCAAGTTTGATGCATTCTGGAATGTACACGTAGAATTCATGATGGTATTATATGCTAGCACGAATGCAATATTGATGTAAAAAGAATAAATTACTCTCAGGATCAAAGACATCTCAATAGCAATGTCAAGACAACCATTGGTTAATAAACAGTAACAGGGAGTGGAACCACAGATTTGGGACAATGTGCAAATAACTATAATATATTATAGTTGAACTTATATTGAATAGAATAATATAAATATTTATATTATTTTATATTATTCTATTCATGTTTCTGCAGATTCAGGCAAGGACTAAAGGATTTAGTCTTCTGCATGGCTGGACCAGTTTTACTAAAAGAGTCAAAGATTGTCATATGTAATTAGTGAATTTAATCAGGTGTCCTGGCAAGGGTGGACCTGAAATAGAGTTACTAGACCAACTCTAAATTCACAGGTTGTCAGGTACACAGAATCTTTTAAAAGAGGAGAATCAGACAGAAAAAGAGAGACTCTCCTGCTGGGATACGAAGACATGCTATTCACTTACTTACTTACTTACTCAGATTGACATGTTCTTATGTTCTCGTTACCCCTTGTAAACATTGTGTAAATAAAAGATGAACTTAGAGGACTGGCATCATAAGGGGTCCTTTCCAATGGAAAACAACACACCTACACAACAAAGAAGAGGGGAGGATTGCAGAATCTACTCTTAAATTCACTTAAGTTTTGTTCCTTTTATGTTTCGATGTTTGAACTGATATGTCATATATATATATATATATATAGCTAAAGCTAAACACTTTAAAAGCATTAATGGCAGAATAAATTATATTTCTACAAACAAAATGTATCTTTATTGTTTCATTTATTTAAGTACTTTCAGTTAGTTGAAGATAAAATTTAATAATGAGATATATTAAATTATTTAATTTAATTCAAAAAATAGTATATTAATTTTACAATGTAAACTAATTTTTTTATATCAACTTGTATTATTTAAATAAATTACATACAACAAAACTAGCCAATCTCCAGTTGTTGCACCTGTAGCAGCTTGCGTCAAATGTTCAAAACTTTCATCATTTAATGATTTGATCAGTGGTTCACGATTCTTTTCTATAGCTTCCAAAAGAGCATCAAGTTCCAAGGAACCTGTACATAAACACATAATAAAAATATTTATCAGTTCATTAAAATAAAAATTTTATTTCTCGTAAACACTTTTAATAAAACAAAATTATATTAAAAATCAATTTTATTACTAAGTTAAGGCCAATTTCACATTTAATGTGGTATTTTTATTTTAATTACACAGCATGTGTTAGTAAATTATCTTACTTTTAGTAAGATAAGCCAAATTTGTTCTTTAATATATAAAATTTTGTAATTTCTTACCATCATATAGAAGAGGAATTCCATCTCTTATATATAAAACTGTAGGATAAGACTTTATTCCATATCTTTCTTGAAGTACTTTATGTTCGATTAGTTTTACAATTTTTACACCGTACGAATCTTCCAAATGATGACTTGTAGATGCTAAAAGTGCTTCAGTTTCTACACATTCAACGCATTGACAGCATGATTTTGCTTTAAAAAATACAAATATTTTATCAGTTTCAAACAGTAGATCTTTTTAAAGATAGCAGAAATACTTTAAATAGCTTATATATTAATTTATACTCACTAAATAGAGCAAGAACATATTTTTCCTCATTTATAATATCTTCAAATTGCTGAAGAACTTCCTCATTTGTCAATTTTCGTTCATTTCCGTTTACCAAAACAACAAACAACCACGTGTACCACGTCAACCTCAACATGATTGTGGCACTGCGATGCCACTATCGACAATTTTAAGAATTACAAAAATAAATATTAATATATTTAATAATATAATATTTATACTTACATCAAGCATAATTTACAAAAATTAATGTAATCTTAATTAACAATTTAATAACATTTATATTAATCTTGTATTTCAAGTATAAATAGTTATAATAAATAAAAAATAAATTATTTAAAATAGCGATGTAACTTAAATAAATAAATATAATTAAAATAGTAAAATTAATTTTAAATGCAATAAAATTAAATGAAATTAAAATGAATTTCATTTTTTTTAATATAAATTAACGAAACACCGCTTCCGAAAATGAATTTCGGCATTGCTATTTTCTAACTTAATTCACTTTATTTAAAATTTAATTAAGCATTTTAATATTTAAACACGTAATAAAATTCAAATTATAATTAAAAACTCATAAAAATTTCTCACAAAAAAATAATTAAAAAAAAAGAGTATATAAAATGACGTCAGAAACGATTTTCCGCCGCCAGGTGGGTTAATACTGGTTGCCACGACGACTGGATCAGTCTGCTTGTTTTTCTTGCAAGATGGCTTCCAAGTGGGGAGAGTTTCTATTACTTATTCTGTGCATCGTAGCGATATTCGGTAGCGTCGAAGTACCGCACAAGAGATTCGAATATAAATACAGTTTTAAAGGACCATATTTAGCGCAGAAGGACGGAACTGTGCCGTTTTGGGAAGCATACGGAAGTAAGTGAGTGATCGAACCGCGAATGTCCACGTTGCCTTATTGAAAGGGGGGGGGGGAATTCATCATTGATGAAGGAAGCTGCCAGCTTCCTTACACGACTCCTCTCACGCTTAAACGTTACGATAGTAGACTAAATGGCGAATCATTACGTCACACATCCATATCGTCACATCAAACTATCCATTTAAATAGATATTTACATAAAAATCCACGTGATCGTCACCAGTTTTCCCATACAGTAGGGTATTAAGATAAACCCTGATGTATAATTTAAAGTGTTTAGGTAATTTCTTCTGTTTTTGGTGACTTGTAACTGAACATATTGAATTAAATTGGAAATGGCGGCAATCGGTGCGGTGTTTAATGCGTATTTGGTGGCGCGTTAGCCTATGCACAAAAGGGGTGCCAGACCGATCTCTTATAAACCAGATACGATGCCAAACTCGACTCTCCGGAGGTTGGGTCGAGAAACGATGCCGGATGAGAATACTGGGGATTCCCTCCGAATATTTTCCTCGGAGGGAAATGCCCAAAATCATTGGGCCCTCTGGTTCGAATTTGTCTGGGTTCCGCGAAGTTGTGATGCACTGCTGCAGGTATTTCATGTGTGTATGGTAATGTTTACCAAATTTTAGCGAGTAAAGTGGGGTATTTACTTAAAAATCTGTGATCTTTGTCATTTTTCAGTAAGATGTGAATTCATTGAAGGGTTTTCCACCCACCCTCGTACGGGGAAAAAAAGTGAAAGGAATCCTTTATATGCTACCCTTTGCAAGATATTTGCCTCAGAAGGTCGGCTTTTACCACATAGTGGCATATTGCCTATTCTCCGTGCTTTGCGTTCATCTGGATGAGCAACGGTGAGCCTTGATTGATGCTCTCTGCATGTAGTTTTGTGTTTTGATGCGAGTGATAGCAAGCACTTTAGTGTTCATTTGGGGGTGAGCCTCCATATCCCCTAAAACTATATAACATAGAGTACTCCACAAATGGTTGAGTGCTACTCAAAGCTGGCATAGTCACCTGAACTAAATAGTTAGTCTTTGCAGAGCAAAGTGACTCACAATCACACACAACCTGTTTTGGTGGCTGTATCTCACAAAGGGTCACATGTAGAGTTATGATTCCTTTAACTTTTTTGCTTCTGGGTATGGTCTATAGCTATGATAAGGTCCAAACTCTCTCATTCAGACATGTAATTGTATCCATTTTTCCATATACAAGGGTATTAAGATAAACCCTGATTCATAATTTAAAATATTTGTATAATTTGTTTGTAATTTATATCAGTTTTACATAATTTTACTAATGTTTAACCAAGCATATTGAAGTAAATTAGAAACAGTTGTGATCAGTACAATGTTTAACACTAAGGCTCTGGGTAAATAATGAGCAACAATATTTTCAGGTATTGCATGTGCCATTTCAATTAACAATCTCCAAATAGCGAGCTGTTGCAATGTCTAACGTGTACCGTACAATGCTCAGAAATATTGTTGCTTGTGATTTTCCCAGAGCCTTAGCATCTCTTAAGGAAGTAACTGAACAAAGAATGTAAGAATAACAGTAGAAACATTATTAAAAAGAACTGAAAATAATGTTTAATGCATGTTTGATGGTTAAATAGTAATATTTATTAAATTCTACCAGTTAAAATGGGACATTTACTTAAAAATTCATGTGATTGTTGTCATTTCTATTGTAAAAAGTTAAGATAAATCTTCATTTTTGTTTTAAAATAAACATTTAGTTTCAGTGATGGATTGAGAACTTTTGGGATTTCAGGCAAAGATGACTTGGACTTCCTCTACATAATTTTAAATCATAAGCTGTTAATGTTTAATTATAGCTATAGAATTATGATGTACAGTTGCAATGGAAAAATTGCCTTATTATTTTTTCCAATTTCAGGACCCATGCTTAGTGGGTGATTTATTCTTTATATTCGTATGTTGCTGTACTTATGATTGTTTAATGCCGTATAAGTAAACATAGTTATATGACACTAACCAATTAAGCAATTCAGTATAATAATTAATGAATTGAGTTGATATCAAGATATTTGTCCAATTATGGCAATTACAATGGGATATTTGCTTACAATCTAGATACTCAACACTAATTTTTATACATTTCCTCTAGCATTTTGATTCAGATTTAAAATACAAAGGTAATTCTTTGTTATACTTTATATTCTCATCTGTATTTTTAGAGTCCTTATAATTAAACAAAAACTTACCAGTCAGTAAATAGAATCAATGAAATGTTTAATACATGTGGATTTGACTTTATATCATGATACTCACTCATTTCTAGTCATTAAAAATTCATATATTTGTTGTGCCACTAGTGGCTGAGCTGATAAAAGCACCAAACGCTGGTAGTAGTCAGTTGTGGGTTTGTACCTTACCAAAGGACTGGTTATGGGAAGTTTTCTGGGTTTCTTTGTGTTTATAACATCTAAATAAGGCCCAATTTCCCGTAAAAAAACTTCCGGGAGGCATTGCCCACGACAGATTGCCTGTGTGTTATGTTGATGTACACAAATAAAACTAGCTTAAATTTTAAGATGAAAGCTATGTATCAAAATTTCTATAGAATTAGCATCTTTTGATAATCATTTAATATTTTGATGTTAAATATTATGAAAATTAAAGCTTAATGTCTTAAAATTGCTTCTAATTTAATATATAAAACATCAATGGATATAAATATACTTTTTAAACTTGTAATGTGTTCAAACTATTACAATTCTGAGATTTTTAGTGTAAAAATATGCCATTTAGACTATTTTAATACAGATCTGTCATGTAGAATATTAAGTAGAAAAGACTGGTTTGACCTTGAATGAATTTCTCAATCTAAATGGCCGATTGACATTGTAATCTTTTTTAACTACTTATTTACTTCATTAACATGTTAAGTGTCAAGGACACATGTGTACCGCCTATTGTTTACTCAAGTACAAGCTTGAGGATGCTGCGCATATATCCAACATCTTACTATGCGTAATGTGATATTTTACTGGATCGATGACTACAATATTTTAGTCTGACATTATGATATGCACTGCGTTTGATGGAAACTTCATCCTATTGCATGTTTATTATACTAATAAGTAGGGATAAACGAACACTTTAAGATGATGCACTTCAATGTCTTTTATGCAGCAAGAGATGATTCAAGCAAATTGAAATCCTTAGGTCATAGGACAAACTTTTTTAGATGTAACGGGCATAAATGCCTAAATTTTGCATAAACATCAAAATAGAATGGCTAATAGTTTTAAAAAATGTTAAAACTGATGATAAACTTGAGAATTATGATACAAAAGTAAGAATTGAAATACAGGTAACCCCAGTATAACACGGCACTTCCATAGCACATATTCACTCTAACACGGTTCGAGAATTGGGAACATCCCCCGTATAACTTGGTGCTTTTATAGCACGGGTTCACTCTAACACAGTTTGGGAATTGGGTAAAACCCTTGTACAACATAAAATGTAATAAAGGGTGTGTTCTTTTATACCTCCGTGCAACTCTGTGCGAGCATTCTAATTGTTTTAGTGGCTACTTTGAATGTTCTTTCAACAAATAAACCATTTAATGGTTAAATTTTACAATTGGGACCCTTCTTTTGCCTCTAAAAGCTCATTTTAGAATTATAGATTCCTCCACACGATACTATCAATAGTGCGGGCGCTACTGTCTTTCTTTCACCATCGTTCCTAAATGCCTACAAACAGCAGTGCACTCCCGTTGCAGAGCGACTGCTATTAATGAACGCACCCACAAACTGTTACCAGTTGATGCTCATGCTGAATTCATCATATAAAATGAATAATCCTCTGGTAAAATATTTACTTAAATAATAAATAAGTATTTTACCTATGAAAAAAATGAATAATAAATCTGATTTAAATAAGGATTTAACAACATGTTTTTTTAATTTTTGGAACCTAACTCCCCCCTTTCGCACTAGTAGTTCTTTGTTTCATATAACACAGCAATTTTTCGGAACGTAACTCTCGTGTTATACGGAGGTTACCTATAATATTTGGATAGAGATGATATAGAGTGCTGCTCAAAGTCATGGTCTGTGGATTTACTGTTGTAATACAAAGTTTTGTATAAGATTGATGGATTGTTCACACCACACATTTTAACATTGTAATACATAACTGCATAAGAGACTAACATCTAATATGTGTTGTGTGATGAAAAGTGCCTCATGAATCTTGATACTATAACTTACGTATTAATTAATGAATGTAGTTAGATTAAGCCCCGGTTTGCAAGCTGTCGATTGTTGGATTTAAAGTTGTAATACCAATAATTATATCATACCAATAGTGTACGAAGGAACTGTTTGCCCAATACTTTTGGAAAAGCATTGCTGGTCTGCCACGTTGACTAGTTGAAGAAGTACAGATCTAGCTCACATTTTTGGTTGTGTATACATCAGTATGAATAATTTATTATGCAGAAATCTTGTGTAACTTTTTTGCTATTAAATTTGCAAATCATTCTTCATATGATTTGCACTTAATGTGTTCATACTGTATTAAAGAGGACGCTTTTTAGCTGATAGGAAAAATGAGATTTCTTGTCTACTACAAAAAAAAATTGATAAAAATAGGTTTTTAGTTTGCTAAATATGATCTAATTCTGTATGCGTTCGGCCTCTTTGTATTCATTTCTTTCTATTTACAACGTATGGACATTTGCATGAATGAAACTAGGTTAAATGTATTTGTAACTGTTTCATTGTCATGTATAAATAGAACTTGTTGAATGTTTAATGAAAGATTCATGTAATTTGCATTGCTTTGATGCGAGCATGACATTAACTGAATTAACATTTAAATTAGAGAAAACTAAAATTATGATTGACATTATATCAAATTTTTATCTATTTTTTTTTCGATAAAATAAGCAATTCAAATCCAATTTGTAGAGAGGTTATTGTGGATTTCAGGTGTGTGATTGAGTTTTG